AAAGGTTACCCAATATCCCCTTAGCGGATAATAATTTCTATACGAGTCAAAAGGTTGAGTTGTTGATTGGAGCGGATCTTTACCCGAAAATCATTCTAAATGGGGTAAAATCGAAAATCTTCGGATCCCTCGTTGGACAACGTACAGTGTTCGGTTAGATTTTAACAGGTTCCGTTCCCTTCGAAGAAACGAAGATAAATGGCAAAGGTGAGGCAGAAAATTCAATAATAACGCAACAACAAACACAAAACCATTTTTGTAGTCAAAATTATACTAATTTCATATTTACACAACAGGCACAACAATCGCCCCATCAACAGACTATACGGCAACAGCAGTCGAAAAGACATCAGCCACAATTACCACAACATCATCCAACAACGCCTCAACAACAAATGCATCAACCATATCAACAGAAGTACAACCACCAATTGATAGGCGATCCGTTTGCTACAATGTTAACGGTGACACAAGAGGCACCAGCTAGTTACAATTCAATACTACAACAACAACAAATTTCACAATTGGAGTCACAGCCACTGCCGACATCAACGCCTACCCAGATCCTAACACAAACGCAGACAGCGATTCAGTCACAGTCGCAGCCTCAGTCGCAAACGCAACCGCAGCAACAGCCATTACTACAACAGCATCAACAACAACAACGGCAGCAGTCAACGCAGCGTGAAGCACAGCTGCCGATAAGGCAGCCGTCTATGTCTCCAGCGCACATTTCGTCACCCATGGCGTCCAGCCCAACGGTGACAGCGCAACAGCAACAACTTCAGCATCAACCGCTGCAAATCCAGCAACGAAAGCTGCATCAGCCACCACAACAGTCCCCAACACCGACATCAACACCATCACATCACTTGGCTAGCATTCTGAACGAAGCAGCCACCTCGAACGGCTCTTCCACATTGGCCATGGGGTCTAACAACAGCAACAACAGCAGCAGGAACAGCTCGACCAACAGAATTGTATACAATCAGCCCACCTCAGTTCATGACGGTAACATGCAAAGCTCTGACCATGACCATGATGCTTCTCCCGCATACCACACGCCCAATATCAAGCCAGACTCGAGTCGTCTCGCCGACTTCGGGGTGCTGGTAACTTCCTTTCGGATTGGCGGTATGGCAACGATCGACTGAGACTCGATTCGTCTCAGCGACATTGTCCGGACCGAACGAGACTTGATTCGTCTCATCGGCCACCTTATCCTAAGCGAAGGCGTGGACGAGACGTTCGTCGTCAAGCAGGTGCACGCCGTATTATCAAATAGAGGGAGTTAACTCTGGTGACTTCTATGCAAATTGGTGGCATGGCAATGACCGACTGAGATTCAATTCATCTCAGCGGCATTTGCCGGACCGAGCTTGACTCGATTTGTCTCGTCGGCCACCCCATCTGCAAAGAAGACGTGGAAGAGGAAGTGCAGGAGCCAGTTAGTTAAGTTAGTTTTAAGTAACCTATTGTAAACTGCATTTGCAGTAATACTGCAAGGCGGGGAGAATGTTGACGCCGCTCCCGCCCAATTTCTTTTGCCACGTCTGTATCGGCAGAGCAATCTTTTCTTTTCCTCTTATTCGAACTTTTTTCGAAGTTTTTAATTCGCGCGCAACTAAATCATAACTAAAAGTTGTGCGCTCTCTTCTTTCGCGACCGCTCACCGATTCAGACGTGGTAAGTGTTTGTCCAATTTATTGTTTGTAAAATATATTTATTATAAGAAACCTTTTATTTTTTATTTAACATTTGTGGAATAACTTTGCGCCGACCGTTTCCCCACGGCCAACCACATCTACGGAACGAACGAGCACCGTGCTCCACCACACGAATTATCATAGGTTATATCATAATCATATTCGCTAAGAAAAATTCTCCACATTTCCACTTTGATGTTGTGATTTTCGAGATTATTAAACCACGGAAAAGGTTTTGTGATTGTTTCGAGTTACATATATGTTCGAAAGCGTTTTATTGATTTCACTACAGCTAGCATTTAAGAATCTCGAACGTAAATTGGATGACCGCTTTGGCTTCGCACTGACCCGCGTGTCGATCCTTTTTTTAGGGGTCTTTTCCAAGGTTTGCCGCATGGTTAATTTCTGGTCAGTTGTTGATTTGCCATATCTAAAACCACACTTATAAGGTCTAATCAGTGTGTTGACGGCGGGCATAATCACTTAAATTCCAATCGCAGGGCATGCTTTGATCCGACCATATTCTACAAAGAGGCTGATGCATGCTCCTCATCATTTCTTTGCTGCCGTGTTTGAATAGCTTGGCCGGCAATCCATCGTACCAGTTGTTCTTTTGCATTTTCCGAAAAACAATGTTTTTGGTTGCAGCTGTTCGTAAGGAACTTAAAATGCTGTGCCACAGTTCCCTTATGCCGAGATTTTGGCGAGTGCTCTCAGAGATCAGGAGCGCAAGTAGTTCGGTTGTCTGTTGTGATTGCAGCTTCTCGACGTCGAATCTTCCTTGTGTTTGTTGGCGTGTGTTTTTCCAGCACAGAGGCAGGTGCGAATCTTGGCTGCAACGAGGTAGTGATTCGATGTTAAGACCTCGGAGCGCACCCACATCTAAAACACTGGAGACGTGTTTTCCGTCTATCACAACATTATCGAAATGGTTGGTGGTTTTTCGATCCGAAGACAGACAGGTGGAATCTAGTGCTACAGATAACCATATTTCGGGCCCAAGTGAAGTCGATCAGCTTCGATGAATTTGGGGATGCTTCGTCGTGGAGGCTGAATTTATCAACCGTACTGCCAAAGATACCTTCTTTGCCCACCCCGGCGTTAAAGTCGCCAAACACGATTTTGATATCGGCCAGCTCTTATAGGTGCGCTCCAAGAATCTTTAGTCATATCGTCCTTCTCTTCTGTCAGGGCGTGAGCGAAAATCAGCGAAGAAATTCGCTTTTTTTTTAGGGATTGTGGCTTGGCGTTCATTTTCTTGGACGGCGGTGATGTTAGCCTTCACTCTAACGAGGACATCAATCAGCTGTGCAGCGGCCCCTTCCCAATTAAGGGACCGGACATTCCAGATGCATGCAATCAAATCGTAGTCCTTATGTCGTTTGCCATGGTCGACTTCAAAAGGGGGCCTCTCATCCGAGACTGTTTACTGGTTTGTTCATTGGTAGTGCTTTTTACGTGGCGGGTCCCAAACACAGCGCACAACCCTATGCAGGGGATGTTTCGCCTTCTCACTTTAGCTCGCCTTCAAACGGATGTCCTTCCCAGAGGATACTTGGTCAAAGACCGAAAGTCGTTAGCTACTTGAGCAATATGCAAAATAAATGATTCTGGCCTCTCCCAAGTGAATGGCGATCAGAGAACTTTTCTCACTTGTTGAACTTCTACACATGACTACATCCTGCTATACCTAAGCATTCCATTTATTCTTTTACTTTCCGGAAGCACTAAAGGAATAGCACATACATGAACATGTATGATGTAACAACATTTTCACAGTCTCTGCATCTGCATATGTACATATATATGTGTGCATGATCCCTGCTATAGTGAATAACAGTGAAGGGGTAGTGCAGAAGAGTGTTCACACCTTATATCTAGTCATATGTTAATGTTTTGTTCAGCATTCACCGAAGGTAATTGCAAAATCGGCAACTCACCCAGATAATAGACGTAAGAAAACACAGACTTGATCGTTCCTTTTGAATATTAGGGGAATTCTCTTGATCTGGCAAGATTCAAGGATGACACAAAATGCAAAAATTCTATACCGAAATATGCAAGGTCAAGAGAGCATCCATTCCCGGCTGATTCGGTTAATTTATTGAGAATGACCATTGTGAATTGGCGCTCAATCCGTTTTCAATCTTAACAAAAAACTGCAACAAATCTTTATAATTTAAGTAGAAATTATAAAATCGATTTTTACATGTCACTGCACGAAAACTAACATTATATTTTGGTCTGACATATTCTACAGCCATTGCAAATAATTTTCTGCGTATGTTTGTTGTTCTGCCGTTGCACTAAAGGGAAAAATCTGAAATTCGTGAACAGTGTTTTGCAACAGCAAGATAATACCCCTATTGTATTGTTTTGTGAAATGCTTCAGGAATATTTGCCAGCTATTATGCACTCATCTCAAATTATGACTCCACATATGTATATGTGTATGTAAACAAAAACCGAAGTACCGTCCCATTAGCTGTGTAATGTTGTTTTGTATTTATAAAATACAAAAATATTGAAATGATTCTAACATGAATATTGACACATGTTTATGTTTTGAAATATAATTTTTTTTATATATGAATTACTGTGACTTCTAACATAAAAGAATAGAAAGTATCCCATGCCCGATCCGAGGTTCCAAGCGTTTCATTTTTATATTATAATACTATATAAGATTTATATTTTTATACATTGTATAATTTACAGTACTATATACATCAATTTATTTATTCTTAATATTTACACAATTTGTAAGCTAATTTTACAATATTTTTTTTAACTCATTTAGAACTGTTAGTATTGAATAATTTAAAAGACAGCGGCTACGCTGGCTAGGTCATGTTATCCGAATGGACGAAAACACTCCAGCTCTGAAAGTATTCGACGCAGTACCCGTCGAGGGAAGCAGAGAAGAGGAAGACCTCCCTCCATTGGAAAGACTAGGTGGAAAAGGACCTGGCTTCCCTTGGAAAATCCAATTGGCGCTACGTAGCGAAAAGAAGAAACGTTTGGCGCACTGTGGTTAACTCGGCTATAATCGCGTAAGCGCTGTCTTCGCCAATAAAGAATTTAAATAAATCGAAGACATTCGATTTTGGCTGATTGGTCAAGTTTCACCTATGAGTTTGTGGTTGCCGTAATGGATCCATTCTGCATCACCAGTCACAAACACGTAAAAATGAGTTATTTCTATTGCGTTCAAACAGCATTTACACGTTTTAATATGTCTGCCTGAGTAACTCCCAAAGGTTCTGTGAGGGTTTCTTATATTTGTAGGAATCTTTGTCAAGTAAGGCCTCCCAGGACGTTCCTAATCTATTAAGTCAAAATTACCACTTTTAAATCGTGCACACCACTTTTTGCCTTTTAGCTTCAATTAAAATAGATAACTATGGATGGCAACCATGGCGCCGAATAAACGTGTTTGTGATGAGTGTAATAGCGTAATTAAAGGAAACATTAGAAGTTCGAGCGGTATTAATTGTAAAAATACCACTATCATATAAGCTGCAGTGGCCTAGATAAAAATGAGTTTGAATTTTTTTACCAGAAGTTTAAACATGCTAATGTAAATAAATGAAACTGTGGCAGATGCGAATTGGAAGCTAGCTTCGTTGTCCCGGAGTCGGAAAACGACGCCGGTGAGGGTTATAGTGATGCTCCAGGTATGAATAAAATATTAGAACGCTTAGATAAATTATTGGATCAAAAGTTTGCAAAACATGTGGAACCTTTGCGTATGGAAATTAGAGAATTAAAGACAAGTGTTACTGTTATGGAAGAGGAAATTACTGAACTAAAAAAGGCTAGAGAAACGGATAAAGATGTATATGAAAATAAGTCAAAGACTGAATGATCTGGGTAAACGGGTCTCTACGCTAGAAAAAAACGGTTTTGAAATAGACATGCAAGGAGCATTCAGAGAAGCGGAGGAACGGAAAAGTAAGGAATCCAGCATCATCGGGTACAACTTTAAAGAATCAGACAAGAATACTGGCGCGGAAAGTCAGTTGGATGATAAAACAAAACTCGTTCAACTAATACCAGATGATTGTGGTATTGAGATGGATGATATCGAAATCAATAGAATTGGTAAAGTAGCAAAGGACAAGATTCGTCCAGTGAAAATCGCACTTCCGTCTAAAGCTATATGCTAGAAAGATATTGACAACGAAACTTAAAGATAAGTCGGTCAAGCTAAAACAGGATTTGACATTAGCCCAGAGAGAAAAGATAAAGAAATTGCACAGTGAGTTGAAAGTGAGAGAAGAGAAAGGAGAAAAAAATCTGGTCATTAGGTACAAATTTGAGGAGCCGTTTATCGATAAAAATGTAAATTTTCGGCCAAGAATCCTAACATCGGAGGAGAAATAACAAATATCACTATTGTTTATCAGAATGTCAGGGGCTTACGCACTAAGCTGAGTCAATTTTATACAATATCTGCGTCTAGTGATCCGGAGGTTGTGTGTGTGTTACTGAATCATGGTTGAACGATAGTATAAAAGACGGGGAGGTTATAAACAACACGTATCAGTTATTTAGGAAAGACCGTGAGGACATTACGAAACGTCGTGGAGGAGGAATGTTTATAGCAGTGAAACGAATATTTCAGGCTGGTTTAATTAATGTTGTTCACCAGGGCATTGAGCAGTTATTTGTAAAGATTAAACTTAAGAATGAGGATTTGATTGTAGGATGTGTTTATATTCCACCGAATGGAGACTGCAATGTGTATGCTAAACACATACAGGACTCAATAAATATAGTGAATAGATATCCTGGTTGTAAAATCATGCTTCTTGGTGACTACAACCTTCCGGACACTAAACGGATCAGGACTGGAGGTGAAGAAGAATTTATTGGAGAATCAGAGCAAGCGGGTTCGGTGATTGAGAAGTATTCTCTACTGGGTTTGACTCAAATTATTAAGATCTGTATTTCTGTCGGTAAATTTCTGGATTAATGCTTTACTAATTGTGATTTTTTTGCCAATAGAATAGCTAGTATGGTTCCAGAGGACAAGTACCATCTCACTATTGGGATTGAAGTAACATTACATGAGACTATCACACAGAAAACGGTGGAATACTTGGACTTCAAAAAAACCGGATACGATGCTCTAAATAATTTTTTTCTTCAAACTAACTGGATTCCTATGTACGAATTGAAGGATATGGATAGTATGGTAGAGCACTTTTACGGAATCATTTCTGAAGGGATTAATAACTATGTGCCGCACTCGGTAAGAAAGGATTACAATTATCCTTGTTGGTTTAGTAGACTTCTAGTTCACAAGATTAAATTGAAAAGGACAGCGCATCACAGTTATAAGTGCTCTGGAAGTTACTTGGACTATGAAATTTTTAGGAAACTGAGAAAAGAATGTAAAAGGTTATGTAGTCAATGCTATAAAAACTTTACCGAAGGCGCTGAGGAGAAGATTAAATCTGACCCAGTATATTTGTGGAAATTTATAGGAATAAAAAAAGGACAGCCAAAGGAACACCGTCTAGTATGGAGTGAAATGACATCAAGGCAGAAGGTGCTGATAGGGTATGTGACTTGTCTACGGATTTCTTTAGCAGTATTTATCAGAAAGTGGACACATTACAACAAGAGGACAGCACATACTCATTGGAGCAGCTGAAAAATTGTAATAGCAGCTTGGAAGATCTTGAAATCACCTTTGATGAATTATTGAAAAGGATGTTAGCTCTTGATCCTAGAAAAGGCCCAGGCGCAGATGGTAATTAGAACTTCTTTCTAAGAGAATGTGCTGTGGGTTTGTGTGAACCACTGAGCTTTCTGTTAGACAAATCATTAAAATTTGGAATTTTTCCCAATTGCTGGAAAGGTGCATACGTAATACCTATATTTAAGCCTGGAAGAAAGATCGACGTGAGTAACTACAGACAAGTCGGCATTCAATCCGCATTATCTAAGCTGTTTGAAAAGTTGATATATGGCCTATTGCTAAAGCTGAAGAAATATGGTATCACGGGTTGTATATATGAGTGGTTTGAATCGTATTTGAGTGGAAGAAGACTCCGTGACTCCATCTCTAGAGAGTTCAAGGTGAAATCGGCTGTACCACAAGGGTCACAGTTAGGGCCTCTACTGTTCTGTATCTTTGTTAATGATATTGGAGCGGAATTTACGTCTCGGTACTCACTCTTCGCTGATGATTTGAAAATCTATAGGTGCATTGAGAACATCGGCGACACGTATGCACTTCAAGAGGATATAAACAAGATGGTGAGATGGTGTGAGTTTAATAAATTGAAGCTTAACGTGGGAAAATGTGCAATCATTAAATATAGCCGTAAATCTGAAGTTAATCAACACCTTTATTATATGGGTAATGATATAGTTAAACAAGTAGAGTCAATAACAGATCTTGGAGTACATATAGACAGTAAACTCATATTTGTTGGTCACACAAATAATAATGTAGCCAAAGCCAAAAAGATCCTACGTAGCCTGCTGAGAACAAGTAAAGATTTTGAGAATGGTAGTACGCTGATTGGTCTGTTCAATGCACTAGTGAGGCCAGTATTGGAGTATGGATGTGTAGTCTGGGACCCAATCTATAATTATCAAATTGATTAATTGGAGTCAGTACAAAAAAATTTTAACAGACATTTAAAATATCGTCACAATATGAGTAAAGACTCAAGAGGTGCAATTGATGCACTAGAACCTAGTAATCCCACACTGGCCAATAGAAGAAAATACCTAACTTTCTGCACGGGAGCTAATATCATTAATGGACATTAGGATGTACCAGAGTTGGTTTAAATATTTGAGTTCGTTAAGTACAAAGTAAACTTGGGGAAGTCAAGAGTTATTCAAGTACCAATAGTTAGATCGAGATACAACACTCGTGCACCGACCTATAGGATCGCGAATGTAATTAATGAGTATGCTGACCGTACGGATGTTTTCGACATGTCTGCAGAAAAAATTAAAAGTGACGGTGAACGTTTAATTCTTACCTGATATTCTGATAAATAAATAAATACATAAATAAAGAAGTGATATTGCTTACAGTTTTCTGATTCTGATCTTAACTAATTCTAACATTTGTTATTATTTTCTTTTCTTCAAAGTATTGTTATTCTTCGAAAATTTCTCTCCTAATACTCAACATGTAAATGAAAAAGATCTATGTATAATTGCTGAGTGCGTTAATAAATAAATAAATAAATAAACTTTTGCCATATGTAATCCAAGTTTGGAAACACTAAACAGTTTAATCTACAAATTTATTAACTTTTTGTCTCGAATATCTGCTGCGCTTCAGCTGGCTGGGTGAGTACCCAAGTATAACAAGTAAGGAAAGGCTAAGTTCGGATGTCACCGAACATTTTATACTCTCACATCAAATACCGTATTTATGTAAAGTTTTATTGAGCTATCATCATTTTTTCCTAAAGGATATATTATACAGAGAAGAATGTATAATATATTCAGATGGAATTCAAAATAGCGTTATATTGGAAGAAGGCATGGTTGTAAACCGATTTAACCCATATTTCGTACATGTCATCAGGGTGTTAAGAAATACTATGAACCGAATTTCATTGAAATCGGTAAAGTAGTTCCTGAGATATGGTTTTTGGTCCATAAGTGGGCGACGCAACGCCCATTTTCAATTTAAAAAAAAGCCTGGGTGCAGCTTCCTTCTGCCATTTCTTCCGTAAAATTTAGTGTTTTTGACGTTTTTTGTTAATCGGTTAACGCACGTTTAGTGATTTTCAACATAACCTTTGTATGGGAGGTGGGCGTGGTTATTATCCGATTTCTTCCGAAAAAATTCCGTCCAAATATGCCACTCCCTAATGCGATCCTTTGTGCCAAATTTCATTTTAATATCTTTATTTATGGCTTAGTTATGACACTTTATAGGTTTTCGGTTTTCGCCATTTTATGGGCGTGGCAGTAGGCCAATTTTGCCCATCTTCGAACTTAACCTTCTTATGGAGCCAAGAAATACGTGTACCAAGCTTCATCACGATATCTCAATTTTTACTCAAGTTACAGCTTGCACGGACGGACAGAAAGACATCCGAATTTCAACTCTAGTCGTCACCCTGATCACTTTGGTATATATAACCCTATATTTAACTCTTTTAGTTTTAGGACTTACAAACAACCGTTATGTAAACAAAACTAAAATACTCTCTTTAGCAACTTTGTTGCGAGAGTATAAAAAGATTTGCAAATTTCTTCACCAACTTGTATAGATGCTACTACCGCTTTCAACACAACTATGTAGTTTGTATAACGACATGTCGAATAAGCGCTTCATAAACAACTGTGATTAATCTTGCTTTGATACAGATAAAGTCCAGAAGTCATGTATACATGTGGAACAATAATAGGATATTTAACTATTAAGTGTTAACTTACATTCTCCCACTTTATTGTAAATGTCATCAATATATTCGTCAAGTTTTGTTTTATTAACTTCAGGCATTGATGATTGCCATTTTCACGCCCCCCTGCGGTAAATTATCTTGTGCTGGTATTCAGCTCTAAAAAAGTCTAAGTTTGAAACATTTTTTTTTAATAAAATGCGTATACGGCAATCCTGGTTTTGCAAAGAAACATGAAATCAACAATTGTTTCTTCAAGGAAAATTAAAGTAATTAGTTCAGATCATTATTATGAAATATAGTTCATTATGAAATGTTGTATAAAACTTACCAATCATCAAGCACATTCCTTAAATCGGAAGGAATGAATAATGAGCGTCTATCTTCTTGCTTTGTTTCTGATAGAAAGACCGATAAAATTGGTTTCCGTGACACCCAAAACCTATACAAATTCGGTTTCGAATATCAAACCAAT